GGCGTCACCATCGCTCAGGGCGGCGTGCTGCCCAACATCCAGGCTGTGCTTTTGCCCAAGAAGACCGAGAAGCCCGCCAAGGCCAAGTAAAGCTGGACGCTCAGTCCCAGCCACCAAACGGCTCTTTTAAGAGCCACCAACAAAATCTGAGAGAAAATGTTCCTTCAAATGATGTGGAAAATACACCTAACATAAGTCCCCTCTAAAACCTTAATCAAATGAATAGCCCAAAACTACTGTAAACATTGGCTATATAATTATATATACAGTTTTCTTTGACTGTTCAATGTCACAACATGAATTCCATTCAAGGCCCCACTTTATTTACTGACACTTTTGCATTTATAACTGAACATGTGAATGTGTCCCTGTTGTTCCAGTTTTTTTTTTCTATTTCAATGAGTTCCTTCAAAATATCTGCAAAATGCCATATAAGTCCCTTCACTTTCTATAAATATCTGAATTAACAGCCTAAATTTACTTGTTTCATGGTTTCTGTAAGGCCAAACAATTTTCATACAATATTATTTCACTTTGTTACTAAATTAACTCCCCCTTAAGACCCCCTTTTGTTTTTATAACTGACCTTGCATAATGTTAATGAGTTAATTGTTGGTAGTCCCAGTAATTTCTCTGGTTATTTTCTTTATTTCAATGAGTCTGCTCTGTGTGTTAACATAAGATTACTAGATTCGGATCGACCCCACCCATGAATACTAAAACAAATACAAAACCTTTGTGGGACTGCATAAGGCAGGTTGAATCATCGTCATTTGAAACTCATTATTTATTGGTTTAATATATATAATTGAATCTGGAAATTCTAATAGCTGTGGGCCAAATTTGGATTGTAGTTCTTAATTCCATTCCAGCTGCTGACCGAGTCTGTGCACAACAGCTTCCGGTTGTAGTGTCCCAGAGGGAGGGGTCTGTCTTCAAATACGTCCTCATCTAGTCTGTAAGTACGAGCGTTGACAGCCCAGCATTCATCAGTCTGTACTGAACCAAACCCTAAAGCAGCAACATGAGTGGACGTGGTAAGGGAGGAAAGGGGCTCGGAAAAGGAG